ATCACCAACCATTAGTTCTGGTGATTGTGGTTGATAATAACACTAGAAGTAGATTGATTGCTCAGGCACTATTGCCAAATGAATCTATGGACTCTTTTAATTGGCTCTTTACATGTCTCAAAAAGGAAATCCAGAATATGAGCATGGTGTTATTTTTTCAGATTCTGATCTTGCAATAACTGCAGTAATTGCTAAGACATTTACAACAACTTAGCATTACCTTTGTGTATTTCATATTAATAATAATGTAAAAAAAAAGGCACAGTCAAAACTTGGTGAACAATATAATCAGTTTATGAATAACTTTTATGCTGCACAAAATTCATTACAAGAAGCTGTATTTGAATGCCGATATGAACATTTAATTAAAACTTACCTAGCTATAGAAAGTTATTTACATAAACTTTACCAATTAAAGCAAAGTTGAGCTCATTGTTTTATAACACAAGTTTTTAATGCTGCAATTCAGAGTACGCAATGTGTAGAATGCTGCAATAACCTTATTAAGTCTAGTGTTAACCAAACATCATCTTTGATTAAACTAAATAATGCAATTCAGGAGTGTCTTGATTTGGAAAATAAGTATAGTCGTTCTCAAGAGACTATAAACTTTGATATAATAGCAACTTACAATCAATAAGTAGAACATTATTTTCTGAAATTATTGTAATGTGTAAAAAATACCTTACTTCTCATATAATTGCTGAAATAAAGCAACAAATTCAACAAGCACTTTGGTATAGATGTTATTTATATAATATTTTACAAGAACATTATGAAAATGAACCTGAACTTACTGAAGAATGTATTGAAGAAAATTAAGACTCACAACAAATACATATTAACTCTATGCTAAACAATGTGTCAGACGATAAAATTCAAGAAGCTTGGCATGTAGTTAGACTTATGGGTTCTGCAAATATATACTATATTATTATATTTAAAGATAGTTCATTTTTATGTACATGTACTTGGCCAGTTAGTCATAGAATTGTATGTCGGCATTACTTTGCTGTTTTTTTAGAATCAAATATAGCTATTTTTCATATCTCATTTATAATGCAATGATGGTATAAAGATGCATATTTTAATGAACCAGAAGACACTTTCAATAATATTTTACCAATTCGACTATATAATAATAATCCTAATAGACCCATTACACCAATTCAATTTAATCAAAATATATTTTCAACCAATTTGATCAACTTACCTCTATATGTAAGGCTTCAGGATCCAAAAAACTCAATAAAAAATTTCTACAAGATCTAATATGTTATAGTAAAAGTTATGGATTGTTGCAAACTGTTCTAGCATTAGTGATGGAGATGAAAACTGATGAGGAAGTAAATGATTGGTGTCATCAATTTATTCAGCAAAAGAAAGAGCTTCTAAAAGCTGATATTGCATCAAGTCAAGATCAAGAAAATATTATTCAAGTAATTAATCCAAAAGTCATGCCAGTTAAGGGCCGACCAAGTAGAAGACAGAAGAGTGTACTTGAATGAGAAGCTAAAAATCCATTAAGTACTAATTATGAAAATGCCAATCAATGTACTTGCTCAAATTGTCATGCTAAAGAACACAATATTCATTCATGTAATTTGCCAAGGCATAGTTAAAGGTTCATGTTAAATATAGTTAAAGGTTTGGGTTAAATATAGTTAAAGGTTTGGGTTAAATTAGTTGACAATATATTATTACTTAATGTAGTTGTTATATATACTGTATATAAAAAAATAGATTACTAGCAAATTTAATAAACAAAAGCTTATTTTGCTCTATTTAACTATTTTGCTTTGTATTGAATTTGTAGTTAACTACAAACAAAATAACAATCAAGCTCTAATTAACTATTGAATTTGTAGCCATATTCAAACAAAATAATAATCAAATCAAACCGGACTTTTTGCCAAGTTTGGCAAAAAGTTCTGTTTGATTTGATTATCAAATTTGGTATATTATGTTTCTAACTAAGATAAAGCATAACTTGTCCAAGAGTACAACATTTTTTGCTGGGATTTTTTAGTATAAAGCACTGCAGGTACACTGACCATAAGCTGAGCAAAGCGAAGCTTATAGTTAACTATATTTTATTTTGATTTATATATTAATTAAGGTGTGATAATATATATTATTTATTGATAAGTAATAGACATATGTTTCCAACTAAGATAAAGCATAACTCGTCCAAGAGTACAACATTTTTTGCTAGGATTTTTTAGTATAAAGCACTGCAGGTATACTGACTATAAGCTGAGCGAAGCGAAGCTTATAGTCAACTACATTTTATTTTGATTTATATATTAATTAAGGTGCGATAATACATATTATTTATTGATAAGTAATAGATATATTATTTAGTATTAGTTAGTAATAGGCATGACTATGTATATTATTGTTGATTAATAGATGCGACAATTTATTATTTATTATTTATTCTTCATTAATAGGCACAATAGTGTATATTATTTATTCTTCATTAATAGGTGCAGTAGTATTTATTATTTATTCTTGGTTATTTATTTATTGTTAATAGACACAGTAGTATAAATCAGATAATATTTATTATTGGTTAATAATAAGCACTGGTTAACTATAACCAGTAACTATTAACAGTCATCTGGTTAACTATAACTAGTGATTATTCATAGTTATCTGGTTATAATTAACCAGTGGCACAAATTAAAAATGTCCTTTTATATTGTTTGTATCTTCTAGTTCATTTGTATTTATTGAGCCAATTCTAGTTGAAGAAAAGGTATATTCAGGTGTGTTTATTGATAAAATATTCAAAAATAATATTAAAATAATTGTATTTGATGATTGGTCTAACTTAAAAAAAAAACCGAGTTTATATCAGGTATTTACTAGTTTATAATAGTTAATAAGAATAGTAACTATGTATTTTATAGAAAGAAGAGTCTATTGTAGTGTAATCTGATAGTGTTTATTCTGTAGTATTTAAATAAACATGTATTTCTGTTTTTTTTAAGTTTAAAGATATTTTGATTAGATTAAGAAAAAATTGTATTGTAGATGTTGAAGAAATTTATTAAATAAACAGGTTTTAGTATTTAAGGTAAGTTGTGATATTTTAAAAATTTCTTGTAATATTTGTATGAGTTGAAGCATTAGAATTAAAAATAATATTTGTAATATCTTCTACAAAGTCACTTACTATTTTAAGTTTAGATTGTACAGTTGTAAAAGATACTATAGTCTGCTCTATATATTGGGTCTAGTCATCATATTCTTGGTTCTTCACTATAATGACTTTATTGCCTAACTACTATTATCATTCTTTTCTAAAAATAGCCTACTAAAAGTAAAAAACATTATAATCTTAGAGGCAGCAGTTGCTTTTATATTATCTGTAGAAGAACTTATTGAAAAGATGTTTTTTTTTGTAGATTGGAGTTTTTAAAAGATTTTTTTTAGAAGATAAGATTGTTGAAATCAAATATCCTTAGTAGTAAATATAATTGAGTTTTCTTCTTCTTTTTTTTCAGATTTATTTAATTTTTGCATAAAGAGCATATTATTGTATTAAATAGAAATAGAGATGTTAAGGTGTTTAATTTAGAAATTTTTAGTTTCTAGATAGTATATTTTATAATAGTTAATTTTAATTTGTTTAGAAATATTTTAAATTGAAACCAAATTTCATAGTAGGTAATTATGCAAGCTAATGTATATATATCAGTAGTTGAATCTATGATTTTTTAAGAGCTTTTTGTTTAGATAATTCTTGAATACTATCATTTTCTGCTGCAATTTGTAGATATTTTTTAAGTAATATGTAGTGCAAGCAATTTTGCTATTTATATTATTGAGTAATATAAAGTTTTTTTCAGTTGATGTAGCTAATTTTAGTTTTAAGAATATTGCTTCTAATTATTGTCTAGTTAAAATAATTTGGTTTTTAATAGAGGGTAATTTCATTCTTTTGTATTAGATTCTAATACTAGATGGAATTTAAATAATTAAAAAAAATAAAAATTGAAAATATTTTCAAGACAATGTTTTATATTTTTGACAATAAGTTGCATAATTTATTGTTACATTTATAGAAATGATAAAGTGCTGCTTTAAAAGTAACTTTGGAACATTCTTGAAGTATAGATAAGATATTTGAAAGATAGTAAGTTTCTAATAAAAGTTTCTTGCAGTCTTCAATAAGCTTTTGAGATATTAACATTTTGATATAATTACTTGTTTTTTTGTTAATTAATTTTTTTAAATCAAATTTTATATATTTCAAAGAATTTTTAAAATCAGGTTTTGTAAATTTTTGTATGAAGTTTAAGTAAAAAAAATTTGAAATTATTATAAATTTTTTTTTTTAAAAAAAATATATTAATGATAAGGCCATGCCTTTAATTTTATTAAAATTCAATTGAAGTTTTTATAAAGAAAAGCTTGCTTTTAAATTACATATAATCTGCAATCTAAACCTACAAGAGTGGCCAAGGCTTACCTAGATTTGGGTATTAGTAATAATATAAGAGAGAAGGATATGATATTTAATCTATTGGATAATCCAAAGATCAATTTTGATAATAATTTGAGGTACTGAAATAGGAGTAGACTAGAAGAAGAACTATGAGTTAAATTTGTAGTAAGTGTGTTTTGAGACTGTACAGAATGTGAAATGCAATATGGAATTCATATTTGTTTGTATATTTGTTGATTTAAATGAAGAAGAAATTTAATAAAAAGTAAAGTAGCTGTATGGTAGGAAATAGAAGTATTATGAATAATAGAAATAAGATCAATAGGAACTAAACCAGATAGGATAGAAATAAGAAATGGCATATGTGAAGAGTTATGCAATTTAAAGCTATTAAGCGTGAGAATTTCTTGATGTAAAATAAGAACAAGATTGGTAAACATGTCAAGAGCAGTAGCATTTAAGATGCAATTAAGAGAATTAGAGATTAAATGATAAATTGTTTGGGTAGAAGAACAAAGAGTCCAGTGTAATAAAGAGCTAGTTTGATTACATTGATAATAGAGAGGAGAGTAGGAGGAATTACATTTGTAAAGAGTGTGAGAAACAGGTAGTTTGTTCAAGAGAATTTTAACACAGAAGGTTTTTAAAGTATAGAAATAAAAACTATAAGCAAAGTTAGAAACCTTTTGATTATTATTAATGTAAAGCCAAGTGGCTTCCCAGTTGATATTAGAAGCAATAATGGACCACTGTTGAAGACAATGTTGAGATGTCCAAAGTGTTATAATATAAGCTTAACAGATAGTATGAATGGAGTATCAAATAAGAATCTTAATAGAAAATTGGTCAATAAATGGAATATAGGCAGGATTGTAAGAGTTGTTAGTTAAAAATCTTTAAATTTTTTTGCAAGAATGTTCAATTTGACTTTGATATTGAATCTATTGTTATTTTAAATATCAAATAGTAGCTTATCTGCATTGTAATTAATATCAAAATTTAAATTAAAGTTAGAAGCTTGATGTTTAGTTTTTTTATAAAATTTTCAAAGTTAATAGTTTTGTAAATATGGTTTAGATATAAGTATAAGCATGCCATATTAATGGTAACTTTTTTTCTGTTTTTGCTAAGTATAGTAAAATAGAATAATATAATCAAAGAATATATAGATAGTCCAGTTAAATAAAAAGTATTATTATAAATTTGGTTAATAAGCCTTTAAGAGTTTTAACCAAACTTTGAAAAGAATAGGGTTTGATTAGTCAAATTTAAGATTAGTTTAAAAAATAAAGTCAGTTAGAAACTTGAGTTTGTTACTAGCTATTTTGTTAAGTATATAGTTAAATGAATATTTAGCAAGAAGTCTGTTATTAGACTTTGTATCAGTTGGTTTAGTAGAAATTGTTTGTTATAAATTAAAGTTAACAAAATGTGATTTTAAAAGTGAAAAAATTTGTAAAGCTAGTTGTATACTCAATTTACTGTATTGTTACTTTTTAAAAGTAGTAAAATAATTTAAAAACTTGTCAAAGTCATTTGTTATATCGCATTTTTATATAGTTCTTTTTCTTTTTCTTTTTGTTTATTATTTTGTTTTAAATTATCATTATTTTGCTTTTTTTGTATTTGGTTGTTTTTAGTTTGATTGTTGTCTTTGAATTCCTTTATGATTTTGGGTTTTTTAAGTAATTTTGTAATATATTTATTAAAAAGTATATATTTATCTTTAGCTAATAGTTTCTAGCATTTGATTTTACAATATTGATTATATCATTTCTAGTTTATATATATTAAGAGAGTTGAGTATTTAAGTTTAAGAGAATGAATACATTGTGTGTGTGAGAAAAACTTCTTTTACCAGTTACAAAGGTTAAAATCTATATATCTAGAGAGTGTTTGTTATTTTTGAGAATAATGCATAGTATATTTTTAATTTTGTATATAATACAAATATGTATATAGTATAAAAATAGTTTGAAAAGAACAGAATTTGTAAAAATTTTCTTAATATTATTACAAAAGGTAAGAAATAGATGAGTAATTTCATGTTTT